ATAGAAAAAAATTAAAAGTTAATTTTTATTTTAATAATTATCCATTTAAAAACTTACATGTTGCAGTAGTGATAAAATTAAGTTCAACTTTTATTATTTTTTATAATGATTAATTATAAAAAGATGCAATACATGCACACTAAGTGTAAAAATTAGACAAACTCTTTTTTTCTTTGTTTATTATTCCTTCTTTTGAAGTTTAATATATTTAGTTTTCTATTTAGAAAATTCAAATTTAGTTATCTACTTTTTTTTTAAGATATCATTTAACATATTTATTGTTATTTTACCCTCCTTTTAGAAAATAATTAAAACATGAGGTTTTCTAATTTGTGCCCTAAAGGTACTCTTTTATCATAAATTTATATAAAAAAATATAAAGATTGATATTAATTTTAATATTATTGTTATATAAATTAATTTAATTAAATAGTTAACAAATTAAATATTACTTTTTCTTTTTTAAATTTCTTACCATGTACCCTAAGATATAAATTAAAAAATCCTTACAACATGTATTAAAAGAGAATTCTTATTTAAATGACACTTAATTAAAAATAAATATAAAATTTTATTAATAAATTATTATATCTGTATAAAACTTTTCTAATTAATTTTGCTACTGATACCAGAGATACTCCAACCAATTAATTTTCTTGTAAGAATTCCCCGTAAGTAAAACACCATTTTTCGAATGATAACCAATTTTTTTTACATTTTCTTGTTAGGGGGAGCCAGAGAAAAGACTAAATTGAAGAGAAATAAAGAAATTGATGGGGGTGGTGTTGGCGGTGGTGGGGGCATCTTTCACATTGCTGGTGACTTCAACCTTTCTCTGTGGCTGATGAAGAAATAAAAGAAGGGATAACGAGAGACCAGAGATTTTTTATATTTGTTTATTAATATTTTTTACTTTAATTATTTCTTGAGAAAATGTAAACATTTTTCGTGTCAACCACAAAATATTTCGTCATAATAACCATACCCGACAAAGAGATCCTACGCAGCAGATTCCTTATTCGTTCAATGGCTCCACACATAACGTTATCTCAAACCAAACCTCACATCACGCACTTGTAGCACTGGTTCGGTTAGGTAGGTGCGGTTTTACCAGAATTAAGATATTTCTGGTTTTTGCATACTCCCACATGCCTCAGTGGCCACTTTATCTTTTGGGTAGTAAGTAGGTTGCACTTATTTTGTAGGTTTCATCTTCTCACAGCACAATAGATATTATCACTTATTTAATTATTTTTTATTGTAAAAATAATTAAAAAAAAAAAAAAAAAGAAAGAAAAAAAGATAGTTCTGGTTTTTACAAAATCAACCGTCCTTCACCCAAACTCCCCCATGTTCAAAACAAAAAAAGGAAATCGCATCACGTGATTCCCCATGACATGATTAGGTGAAACGGCATATCATTCCAGCACCATTATATATATGTAAATATATAAACTAAGGTACAACTCACATTAATTATATAATTAAAAAAATATTATATAGTTTGAATTGATAATTTAAATTGTAAAATTTTAACATTTGAATGGAAACGATCTTTTAATATTGAAATTTTTTTTCCTAATTTGATATATAATTTATATTTTATAGTTTGACATATTATATAAACTATAAAATAAGAAATTCTTACATACTTAACCTAAAAAAAAAAAGTAAGTATAATTAAAATTAATTAGAAATTCCTATGAATTAATTATCAAAACAAAAGTTGTATGTGAAAACCACTAAAAAATTGAAGCCACGACCACAACTTATGGTCATAAAAAGCTACTGCAAATTGTTAGGGTAGAACAAAATAGTAGATAAAAGAGATGATAGATACTTTGACCAACTCCAAAACTTTGAATTCAAAATAACCCCAATCAGCCTTCTTGGCTCTCCACACTGAGTTTTTTGTTAGATTTTGCAAGAACTTACAATGCCAGCCTGCAACATACGCAGTATTTCTTTGACTGATAGAACTTAAACACTATCTAGAACTTTGAATTAATTATATGTAAAATAGATAAATGAAAACATTTAGAGTAGAACAAAATAATAAAGGAGGAATATCATTTAGCTAAAAATGAAATGCCACTTGCCTTTGACTCAGAATATTATCATCACTACCAAGAGTTTACCCAAATTGATATTTATTAATTTAAAAATTTAAATTTTTAAACTATTAAATAGTTATCCTTTTGATAAGTAGAGTTTCAATTCATCTATCACATTTGTTGTCTAATGTTACTAAATGCATAAATGAATGATGCCTACCTGGAGTATATAATTTTTACCTAGAGAATACAATTTTCATAGGAAAATGAAAGGAAAAGACTTTTTTTTTTTTTGTTAGATATGGATGATAGCTCTACCTATATATGTAGACCTTCTGTTGTATTCCCAGGGTACCACTGATGTGGTATTTCAAGTCAATAAAAATACACCATCTCAGTTTTTTTTTTTTTCTCATTTCATCAATCATCTGACTAAAAGAACAGGGATGGTAAATTTTTATTGATCGAAGATACCATGTTAGTCATTGTTTTCAAAACCGAACTAACTGTTGAATCATTTTGACTTTTGGTTCATGATTTTGATTGTTCAACCAATTGAACCAATAAAAAATCAGGTTGATTAAATTTTGAAAATATCTGTTAAATATAATATAATGCAACTTAGGTCAAAGAAATTAGTTGTATTTTTAAGTGGTCAGGAACCTTTAACTCTATTGAGGAGAATTAGAGTTCGAGTCTTATGAGTGTTAAATTTATTCAAATTAAAATTCTATGATAAATAAAACTTAATGCATGAAAGGATAACAGACTTGAATCAAATCAAGTGGCACGAATTCTGTAAAGTATTCACGAAAGTCAATGTTTGAACCTCATGGAAGTCATATTCCCTTTAAAATCTTTCTGACATTCTTTAAAAGATTTTCTTTGCAACTTCGCTCACAAGAGGGAGGGTGCCCTGGTGGCAAATGGCTTACTAATCCTCTGTGAGGCCAAGTGTTCGAAACTCGGGGGAGACAAATTTTGGAGAATTTCGTCTCAATGGTTAGCCTGACCAGTTGGATCAGTTATTGGTTTGAGCAGTTTTAAGCAGTTCAACTTCCAAAATGGTTTGAAATACTCAACTCGTTTCAATTACCAAATGTTGGTTTGGGTCGATCCAATTTTCAAAACAAAAATATCTTGAGGATACAATAGAATTTTTCCTTGCCGATGCTATGTGCATACTGACTTGCTGGCAAGCCAGGGTTTCCACTCTAGGATTTCTGGAGCCCTTAAACTAACCGCTCACGTGGCTATAGCAACCATTTTGTCAAACAAGGCCGAACCATCAAACATAGCTTGTCGCCTTGACCTCGGATGTCATAATCTCCAATAACCAAAGGATCAAGGGACGGAGCTACCATAGGACAAATGGGGTGGCTTTTGGAAAAATATCTACTAAGGTATCCCGTATAGTACCTGTTTCAGCAGCTTCGCAACCCAACACTATTGAAGTCTTCAACTGCTTCTACACCTGAAAATCCCGAGGATGTTTCCTCGGGGAAAACACTCCAACGCTCAAGTCAGCAATACTCAATATTCTAGAGAGAGGTGCTCTCAAGGAGTAATTGCAGAGAGAGAAGCGTAGAGATTAATTACCTCCTTCGGAGGTGGTTGGGGGGTATTTATAGCCCCAAGTGCTGACATGTATCTGCACATGTAAGCCTCTCATTGGCCCACGTGGTACTGCCCACGTGGGTATGTCTCCTCCTCTTGGGCCTGCGGGTGCGTAATTGGGCCTGCTGCATGTGGCCCTAAGAGGGCGTTGGGCCTAATCCCAACGGCACCATCTACAAGATAAGAGGTAACATGTATTTACCTGGAAAAGCCATCAGACAACCAAAATATTATAAAAACACTTACCAACATCCAAATTTCAAACTTAATGTATAAAATATAGGGATGAATGAATTATTATCATTCCACGCAAGATCCTGCAACAGGACATCTAGAGCAAGAAATTAATCGCACAAAACAGTGACTTTAAATATGATATCTGCAGTCCCTGGTATTGGTTTAGTTTTCTATATATAAAGAGAACTGAGGCTTTAATGTCATAGAGGTCATAGAGCCTCTCTTTATTAATGATGGGAAGAAATACATTTAGTTTTATGATATATTAGGAAATCAATGAGATAATTTAATAATTAAGAATTTAAAATTTTTAATTTGAAATCTAAAATTTGAATTTTTAACCGGTGGGAAAGGATATAAGGAAAAAAAGATTATTTTCTCTTATATAATTTATTCAAATATAAAAAATAAAAATAAAAATAAAAATTATCTAATATTTATTTTTGATAAAATATGCCAATCTGGAAACTTCCATCACGCATCACCGTGAATTTCTCCTCTGACTTCCATCATCACCATCCACTTGTCATCCTCATTCCACCGTCAGTATCCGTTTCTCATTTCTTTAAGGGCGTTTTTATCCTTTTGCCATAAATTTGTATTAAAAACCAACGAGGTTGGATCAAGTGGCAAGCGGCTTGTTCCAGCTTAAACAAGGTATCGAGTTCGAGACCTTGTGTATGCAGCAATCTTCGTTGAGAGACCCACCCACCATTTTGGTGCGCCACAGCTAGTCGAGTCTGGAGTAATTGGGGCGAAGCCCCGGATACCGGATAGGAAACCAAAAAAAATAAATTTATATTAAAAAAATAAAAATTAATTTTTAATTTTTAATTATTTAATTACTATTAATTTTTATATTTTATTTATATATTTATAATAAAAAAATAATATATATCAATTTTATCTCTTAAAAATTTAAAAAAAATCATTTAAAAATTATGTCATTTAATAAATTTTTATTAAAAAATTAAACTATTTTATTTTCAAATATGTATTAAGATAATTTTTTTCTTTCTTCTTAATTTTTTAAAAATAAGTGAATAAACACTAACTCTATAAAAAAAATATTTTTAAATATACATTTTAAAAATCATTTCTTTAATCCAAACTATTAAAATTACGTAGCATTGAGTCAAAATTAACTCAACTAATCCATCGTCGTCGCTTTATTTAGGCATCCGACATCGCCACCGCCTACTACACTTTCTTTCGCCTTTCGATGTTATGCTAATTGCTAAAACCCTGACGATGGCGAAACATCTAGTCCCCTACGGTTGCATCCTCCTCATCACCACCGCCCTCGCTCTTTCTCCCCCATCCACCGCCGTTGATCCTTCTGAAGTTGGTTCTGCGGCTCGATATGATTCCCCTTACACGCCCAATGCGTGCCGATATGATGAAGAGCGTCTACCCTCTGGTGGGCTATTTGGGGCCATTGATCAAGTGTTATGGAACAAGGGGAGCCAGTGTGGTACCATCTACCAGGTAAGATGTATCAGTGAGGCTGGTGCTTGCCTTTATGGTACAAGTATAAATATCACCATAGTTGATCTTCTCCAAAAAACAGTATCAGAGCCTTCCAACTATGACGTTCTCTTTGCTCTCTCCTCAAAAGCGTATGGCCTTATCGCGGACCCGGCCAAAGATTCAATCAAAATCCAATTCCAGCGCCTTTGAGGTTTTCGTGCTTCCTTTCATCCTTAATTTTTTTCCCCTTTTAAATATATTTTCCATTTTTCTTGAAAGGACATATTTTTGATGAATTTTGGTTTGGGTTAAGCATTTAGCGGGTTCCGTGCAGGCGCGTGGCAGCTCTGTTCCGGTCACGCTGCTGTTTTCCGGCATCAGTTTCCCCATCGGGCCCTGGAACACAGAAGATCCGGGAAAGGCCGTTAGCGGGGCAGAGGAGAGATTAGCCGGAAAACAGACCAGAGAAAATTGGGGTCCCTGTCTGCTTAATTTTCTTCTGTAGAATGTTAGATCTGGGAAATTAGAATCCGGGAAATGGGTTGTGTGCATCTGTAGAGGAAGATCGGGATCTAAGCGTATGTAGGAGGGTGCGTGGAAGGCTGGGGTTTTAGCCTTTGGGGAGGTAAAGCGGCAGGATCTGGCTCTGATTTGGGGGTTTCTGAAGATTTTAAGATGAATTTGGGAGATCCTGGTTTGGTAGTGGTGGCTGAGTGGCTCGCGTTCGTGGTGGCTATGGATCCTTCAGTGGAGACGGTGGTTCCGGGCGGTTTGGTGGCGGCGCCGTGATTCCCTGTGCGGAATCCTTATTTTCCGAGAATAGATAGCCCTGGCCAAAATTGGTACAAGATACAGACAATATGGGGATGTGATTCTGTCAAATGATAATGATTTTTTATTTTTATTTTTATTTTTATTTTTCCTTTTTTGAGAAATTTCAGGAGATAATGTTTTGATTGAATGGGGATGGGTGGTGTTATTGCCACGGCCATTAATGTTAATGCCACAGCTTTTTTTAGTTATTTGACTATTATACCCCTCATTTTGAATCCAACTTGCAGCAGTCATCACTTTCTCCGCGTGGATTAATGGTCAATTAATTAAAAAAGCTGTGGTATTAACCTTTAAAGCTGTGGCAATAACACCACCCATGGGGATTGGTCTAGGCAGTCTAAAATATCTAGTCCCAAACTAGTTGAGTCCTCCACTTGTTGCTGGGTAAATGTAATTGCAAATGAGCCACGGCGTCTTCTTTACTCTAGATATTTTCTTTGAATAGATCTGGAAAGATGGGTTCTATTATTATGATGCCTAAATTAGTTATTGTTTGGTCTACTTAAAAAAAAAATTGTAAAAGAATCTTTAAGTTAGTTTCAATTATTTTTTTAAAGTGATTCATGAGATATTTATAAATTTTAATGAAATATTCACGTGACTTACTTAATGAGATAATCAAAATTTAAAATGTCCAATCAGGTGGCGATGATCTTCAGAATGGAGGATGAGGTGCGGGCATACGTGCATACTGTAGTTATCATGTAATTGTGCACTCGGAAGACATTGAACTTACACCATATCTTAATGATTTAGAAATTGTCTAGTAGTACATTCGAGATCATTGACGTTGGACCTATCCTTACAGTAAAAGATTGAACGAATTCTTAGTTGTTTGACTTAGTTTAGTTAAAAAGTCGAGGAAGAAATATTGATTGATTTAGATTTTAGCTAAAATGTCAAGAAAGGTATATTAGTTGACTTAGATCTTAAAATCGAGGAAGTTAAATCATTTGACTTAAAGCATAGTTAAAAGGTGGAGGTAAAATTGCATAACAAATCTTTTGCTTTTCACGTAAAAATTTGCTTTGGTTTTTTTAGGAGGAACTATTACATATTTTAGGTGTAAAGGAGAACGTGGAAAGGGGATCTCATAAAACTTGGACACGCAACTTGCAACTTGCAACTTACAAGAAGGCATCGGGATCCAAGTAAAAAGTTACTTGCCTCACAAAAAAAAAAAAAAAATTAAATGTTAATTTTGATGTTTCAATTTTAAAATTTTATATAATTTTTATTTTTTAATTTTTTATATATTTTTTAATCATTTAACTATTAAAATATATTTTTTTAGTTCTTTTTCAGATAATCTGTTAAGTTTATATGAATTTATATATTTTTAATTCTTTAATTTTTAATATATGTATATTTTTTATCTTCAACTTTAAATTGAGAGATTAAAAATGTGTATATTTAAATAAATTTAATAAATTAACTGATGGAAGAAGTAAAAAATATATTTTTCATAGTCAAAAAACAAAAAAAAAATTAAGGAATGAAAATTATGTAAAATTTTAAAATTAAGGGACTAAAATTGACATTTAACATTTAAAAAAATGCATGAGGGAATGGACGAATTCTTAATTGTTTGAGTAAAGTCTTTTCTTTGATTTGTTAATAAGTGAAAATCAAACTGTTTTTTTTTCGCCATCATTCGAACTTGGCAAATGTCAAGGCATTGAGGGTACCTATTATTTAGGTTATGAAGCTTGGTGCTTCAAACTTGATATATATATTTTTAAAACAATTATAAATTTAGAGGAGAAGAAATTTAAACCCAACATTTAAAAGTTGGGTGCTGTACCTTTTATACGTTTTACAGCTAATTGGCCATCTAACCCAAGTGCCCAAAGTTGATATTTTAAATATCAACAGATAATAAATTTTAATTATCAAGACGCGGTTGTTCTTAATTTGGTTAAATATGATATGATATCTCTGGTTTTCTTTTACTTAGCATCCTCTTACTTCAAGTTTTAATATTTTTTACCGTTCTATTTTTGCAGCTATCGTGAGCAAGGACAAACTTGTTTGCATATCTCTGGCTGCACTCCAACGAATGAGATAATACCAACTCTAAAAAGAGAAGTCAGTTGCAGTTTTCATAATTTGGTCTCTTAATAAGGGACAGAGCTTGGGCAAGATACTAGGAGGAGCCAACAAAGTTTTTCAAAGATGTAACTTATAAAAAATAAATTTTTGAGGGACTAATTAATAAAAAAGCTTAAGGGTATACAAAGAATTTGAAATTTTTTAGGGGGGGCCGTGGCCTCTTCTATCCTCCATACTTGCTCTCAGTGTACCGTAATTGGGTTGAGGGAAAAAGAGAGAGGAAAGGGAAAGATTGTTTTCTTCTCTTGTTTGGTTATGTCAGTTGTAGTATCTATAATTTAGTTTATTAATGACTTTTATCTAATTAATTATTTAATTAAAATAATACACATAATATTGATGATAAAATTTATATTAGTTTTTGTATTTTTTTAATATAAATTAATA